TTAATATCAGTCCCATATAACATGGGATTTCCCTATGGCTGCGATTTTGGATATCATTGCATCCAACATCTCTCTCCCCCTCTCCCCAAAACAACAAATGGGTGAAAAATTTATAGTTCCAATGATGCGAGGAATTATGATGATAGTTGTTTAGATTTTCACCTGAAGATGCTAATCTGTATTGTAAATGTTAACTGCACATCATGTTTAGGCTGTCTTAGGTGGAAGGGGTCCATTATTATCCCTCGAAGCATATCTGATGTGGCATTTTAAATAACCAGTTTGTGCTTATTTATCGAAGTATATTTCTGTATTTTTTCCATTTTCTTACCTGTAAAAGAAAGAAAATCTTGTACAGCTTCTTGTGAACAAGACATTGTACGAGAAGACCTTGGCAAGTGGTTTTGGTTCAGTGCACTTTCTTGTAGATGCCTCGGAACAGCAGCAGGTGAGCGCAGAAACCACTTCAATGTCTCTCTCTAGAAAAATTTCTGAAATTTTCTTCTTAAATGAATGCAGTACAAGGAAGCAATTTTGGCTTATGTGCACCTCCTCAAAGCAGATAGAAGCCAGGTATTATATCTTGTTGCTTTGGTGTTGACAGAGCATTTTGTCAATAACTGATGGAACTCGTTGCAACTCGTAAAGGTTTTCATTCAAATTGTGATTGTCCATCTACCTCTCTATGCCCCACATACACTATAAGTACAAACAGTGGATTGATTTGCTATACTAAAAATTACTCCTTGATTCGTTTCTTTTATGGATATTCCTTTTGATTTTTATTACTTGGGAAGACTTGGAAATATTTACACATACCAGGACTTTAGCTTTCTAATGCTGCTTTGAATTTGGAAAATACATATTGGAAATTGTCAATAGTACATCAAGAATAAAGATCGACAAAAATGTGATTTTCTCTTGAACAAGACCTTTTAAGCCCTTAAATGTCGTTCTTTCTTGAAGGAGCAATGTGTGTGATTTCTGTTCATACTACAGTGGCTCCTTGGGTTTGCCTTTTTAATGAGCGGTGTTTGCAAAACGAGTTTGTTTCATTTATTTTGCTTAAAACCAGTGGTAGTTTTACAAAACAGTTGCACTTCAGTAGTTCTTTGGCAGAAAATGTTGACCTAGATTTTACCCTAGTAATCTCTTCTTATCATGGGCTTTAGCTGTGATGGCATTTTGCACCTCTATCGTTGACATTGCAGAGACTATCAAGAAGTGCAGTCGGGGACACATGTGAGAGATTCATTTATGATATATTTGGAGAGAAGGTATGAAATTTGTAGATGATGGCAGTTCTTTTCTTTTTTGCTTTTCCTAGGCGTTTTCAAATCCTGGTTAGGTTTATTGCTTTAGGTGGAGATGCCTATTGAGAAAGCTGTGGAGACACTCATTAGATTGGGGCTTGTAGAGGAGGTTTTTGATGAAGGGAACACGACACTGCATGCTCTCTCATGCTCAAAAGCGTATGAGGCTCTTAAACAACGCTGGGATTGCTTACTGTGATCAAGTTATGCAGTATAGCATTTATTTTATTTTTTTGCCTTTTTAAATTTCAATGTATCATCATGCATAACATTCAAAATATGCATATCTTGAGAGAGAGAGAGAGAGAGAGAGGAGATTTATCAATGTAGGTTAGATGAGCTTTCAAATTGTATGATGCGGATGTTTAATTAGAGAGAGATGTATGTATATATATATATATATGTATATACACATGTATAAATAAAGAGCTTTTGGGCCGTGCTTCAGACGTCTGATTGTATGAGAGAGAGAGAGGGATTTACATGGATAAATGTTCGAGCTCTATGATCCCAAAAACATGTGTCAAGCACGGTTAGAGATGAAGCAGCTAATTTCATTGCATCTAAAATTTCCATTGTTAACAAGGGAAAGCCATTGCATCTCAAATTTCCATTGTCAAGCCCGCCAATATTTGCTCCAGTGGAGGAACACTTCAGCTCCACCGTCTCTGTTTTGATCAGTGTTTAAGAGATCGCCGATTTTTTAAAAATCAGCCGACTAACTCAGGATTGGTTATTGGTCGATTTCGATCTGGCCCTATTTCAATGGTTATATATGCAGGAATTTTTTTTTAGTGCACTTGTCGGACTAATCGGTACTAATCGTCACAAATCGGTGGATTAGTGCACTAATCGGCGATTTGTTTTAAAAATCGGCTGATAGTACACTGTCATAGTGTAGAGTCTACAAAGCTGTCCTTATAACATTTTCTATATATTTCTCCATTTTTTCGTTTCCCTATTCTTCTCTTTCTCTACTTAAAACTTTATATATTATTTACGAATTTTTAATTTGCTAACAGCAAGGTTTGCCGTGTTGGGCGAGTTAGTCGGGCGCGACAAGGAGCCAAGCCTGTTAAGTCCCTCAACTTGGGGATATAAAATTTATTCATTGTTCATCTGATTTGATCTTCAATCTAATACCTACACCACCAACCCTTGAGGGGTACATAAACATACACATAGACACATACATGAGAGAGGGAAATTTATCAAAATTGTCACAAAGAGACGAACAATTTTATACTTTACCTATATTTTTAATGGAAAAAGTTTATATAAGGTTGCAATCTTAAAATGTAGAAATAAAGATGCACTTAAAAAATCCATCGAAAAAGGTTGTTTTAATGTTGAAAAACCCTCTAATTGATCATCTTGACATCAAGATGTATGAATATGAGAAAAAAAAAAGATTTTGAGTTTTAGAAATAGTGCATCTTGCAACACATTATCTAGACCATCCATTTTCAAGATTTTCATTTGTTTATGTATCTACTTGATTTTAACCATTTTTGGAGTTTAAAATTTTATAATTAGAGATGAAAATAGATTTTTAGATAATCCTAAAATAAATTTACACTAAAATTACATGTTATGATAAAACTTGGAGGTTGCCTTAATTGGATTGTTTAAGGTTGCAACCTTATACAAACCACACCCATTTTTAATTGAATTTCAAAATACCCCAAAAAATAAACATGGTCTTGAGATGAAATATTATACTATTTTACAATATTATATAATATTATATTATATTATATTATATAGTACATAGTATATATTGATTACATACTATATAATATATAATATTAATATAGTAAATATATATTAATCACTAAAAAAGTATTGCTTCAAATGCCTAATCATTTTATCCGAAACCCAATTATGCTTATAATATTTATTATTTTTTTTTTGCTTTTTTTTATCTGACTAAAAAACCAATACATGTAAATTTTAAACATTTTTTACAACTTTTTTGGGAAGTTTTTAAGTTTTTTAGAATTTTTTTACCAAATTTGCATTTTTTAGAAAAACTTGAGGCACTACCGGTCAATCTAATCGGAATTGGTCAGACTAATCGGATCGGGCGAAGACCGACTAATCAGCCCGATCCGCTTGTTTTGAACACTGGTTTTGACAAAAAAAGAGAATAATGGCGCTTCCACGCAGCATGCATCAAGTGTATGGACCTTAGTTGCGTCTTGTGGCGTATTGTTATAGTTTATAGCCGTATAAGTGTTTGCACACACGTGTATGTGTGGAGAGGGGGATTACACCAAGTTTTTGTTTCGTCAGTTGATCAGCGAATTGAGGGGATTCCACCTAGCTCGACTTCTGTTAAATGCTACAACCAGTGAGATTTTTTTATGGGGAATTTTTTTTTAGAGAAAATTACGTAGAAATCTATTATAGTTTACGTTATTACGGTTACACCAAATAGTTTTTGTTATTATACAACTATCTGTTTTTTTATCTTCCATATCTCTATTTTTTAAAAAAGATAACGTTGCCCATTTTTAGATGTTCAACATCCGAATTTCTCATATTTTTGGGTGTTGAATAACTGAATTTCTCATATATGCGCTCTTTAGCCATCCGATCTAAATTGACAGTTAAAATGGCTCTAATCACATTAAATTTGGGATATCCAGTTTTCTTAAAGGGTCATACCTTCAAAAAAACAATTTTAAAAAAATATTTATAAAATATAAAATGACAAAATACTCTTAAAAGTTTTAAGGTTAGTTCGGTATTTTATTTTCAAAAATATTTTTTCAATGGGCCCCATTGAGATGATGATGCACACCAAATGGTACTGATAAATAATATTGTGCTCGCTAGGGGTGCTTCCCCTCTTTACAAACCACATTTGAGGTGTGGATAGGATCCAAATCATGTCTCGCAAACCCCTAAATAGAGTTTCATGGAAAAAAAATGAATTTGGGGATTAAAAAATGCCTCATATACACCGTGACACATATCAAATTTATATGTCCATTTCAATGGGAGAGAGAGGGATTTGGAATTTTTGGAGCTCCAAACAATAATCAGATTGAGAGGAGATTAATTTTAAGTATGGCAATTTTTTGGGAGCACCCCTACTTTTTTGCAAGGTCCTAATGGTTGCTCACGGTTCTACTAGCACTACAAAACAAATGAAAAAGTATAAACAGCAGTGGACCTGTAGAAAAAAATAATATTGCTCTTGCCTGCAGCTATTAATGACAGTTTCTGTGAGGGAGACTCTCTGAAAATTTCATGATTGCAAGCATGTTTTTCAGAGAAATGCCTTGGATATGTTCAGCTTTGGGAGCATTATACTATTGTGATGGCACCTGGAATAAAATCCAGAATATGTTAACAATTTGATCGCCAAATCGAATAACTTTCAGTCAATGCCGTCGAACCGCAGTTAATGCTATGGAAGGGGCAAGTGCAGACTTTTGATCTCGAAAATTCATCCGTTTTGGATTGTATGCTCGAGGGCGATGACTCCTGATCCTCTAAGGACTCAGTTTTGGGGACCGCTACCGTTTGGTGAGAATTGAGTAAGAGGTTTCATTATAAGGCTCATTGGTACCACCACTAAGACCCCAGCCCATTCTTACTGGCTAACTTAAGTTCTCAGTAGTGTATAAATAGGACTAGTAAATCTCGATTTTATATAGAAAAAATTTGATTTGTATGCCCTTATGCAATAGAATTGTTGTCAAATGTCTCCAAATAGGTAAAGCCATCAAAGATATGCAAAAGCCTTTCGAGAAAGGGAACGTGAGTTCCACATCAAGTCAAAGCTTCAAGAACATGAGAAGTGAGCAGCGTAGCATGCCCTTTGATATAAAGCAGCAAGTTAATGGAGATTTGATACGTATGTTATGTCATGGTCTATAATTTTCTCTTCCTGAATCTGTATAACTCTTTGCAACCTCGGCAAGGGTCTTCGAATTTGTATTAAAGGATTGGGGAGTAGGTGTAAATGAACTAGTAATCTTGAGTCCCTAGAACTCTTCTCTATAATAGTAAAATAAATGGTCTCGTTAATTTTTTTTTAGGGTGTTTTTCGAGGATGTAATTTGTGTCTCATTTGTGTGCATTGTCAACTTTGGTCCCTTTGGACCATACTTCCATTGGAATTATTTGTTCTGCTATATCACAATTAGTTACATGCTCTCATAAGGCTTTTAAATGACTACAAAAACCCAACATATCTCACTTTACCTTTCAAGGCCTTCAAGTCTCTCTTCCTCACTCGCTCTTAGCCTCATCTCATGCACATGTTTAATAAAAACATTTGCAATTAACCCCTTTGTAAGAAAGCCTATAATTATTACCTCATTGGGAATATATGTGATCTTGATCTCTCTACGTTGCACCTCATTTCGCAGACAATAATAGCAGAGCTTTATGTGTTTGGATTTCTTTTGGAATTGTGACTATGTCAAGAGCTTTTCCATGTGATTTTTGAAACATTTTTACTGATATTTCTTTGATTTTTTCACAATTGAATCAGTCAATTAGATCATATTTTTTATGAATCAAATTGTTGTAGCCTTTCTCAATGAGGAATTAGAAGAGGAAATATACATTAAATAACCTGAGGGTTTTGAAGATAAAGGAAAGCATAACCTTATATGAAAATTTAGAAAATCCCTCTATGACTTAAAACGAGCATCGTGTCAGTGGTCAGTGGGAGTGATACCGTATTTATATTACCATGAGGAAGACGACTACATTTATAAAAATATCAATTGGAGTAATTTTGTATTTATATCTTTATATATGAATGACATGAATAATTGTTAGTAGCTCGATTGTCTTTGTGTAGGAAACAAACGAGTTCCTTACACAACACTTTGATAACAAGGATCTAAGGGAAGCTTCATATGAGTTGGGAATCAAGCTAATAAGAAATAGAAATGAGCGAACATTTCAACTTTCCTAGGCAACTTACTGCAAAAGAGAACTAGAAAAGTTTGAGATGGACAAATGCAAGCCCATATCGATCCTTGTAGACAAGAAGACAAAACTTAGCCTGTAAATGTGCCCTAGTTATGATGAAAAGAATAAATTCATGGGAAGAATACCGTATAGAAGCGCATTAGGATCTCTGGTATATGGCATGTTAGAAACAAGGTCAGACTTGTCCTTTGCCATGAGCATAATTAGCTGGTTCCAATGCAATCTTTGGGATTGAGCATTGGCAGGCAATTAAGAGACTTCTAAAATTCCTACAAGGAACTGAGAACTATGCGCTGACACATGGGGGAGGATCAAAAATTGCTATCCAAGGATATACAGATTCGAGTTACTAGGGTGATCCATATGACGCAAAATCCACATCTGGATATGTGTTCATCCTTAGAGGAGGGGTTGTTTCTTGGAAATCAAATAAACATGATGTGGTGGCATTGTCCATCATAGAATCAGAGTACGTGGTGTGTTGTCTA